GCCCAGGCGGGTCTCGAACCCTCGGGCTCAGGCAATCCACTTACCTCAGCCTCCCAAAGTGCTGGGATTACAGGCTGAGCCACGGAGCCCGGCCATAAAAATTTTTTAAAAATACAATTGGGTCCTCCAGTACAGTGGCTCAAGCCTGTAATCCCAGCACTTTGGGAGGACAAGGTGAAAGGATTGCCTGAGCCCATCGGTTTGAGACCAGCCTGGGCAACTTGGCAAGACCTCATCTCTACAATAACTCAAGAAAAATTAGCTGGGCATGAAGGCATGTCTGTAATTCCAGCTAATTAGAAGGCCTCAGCCTGTAATCCCGCGCCTTTGGGAGGCCGAGGTGAGTGCATTGCCTGAGACGGCGGGTTCGAGACCTGCCTGGGCAGTGAGACCTCATCTCTACAATAAATCAAAAAATCACCCAGGCGTGGTAGCGCATGCCTGTAATTCCGGCTACTTGGAAGGCTAAGGCGGAAGGATCACTGGATCCCAGCATGTCCGGAGCCCAGCAGGTTGAACCCCCGGTGGCTGGGAGCGGCCACTGCACTCCAGTCTGGGCAACAGAGTGAGACTCCAACTCAAAACAAAACAAAACAACAAAAAAACAAAAACAAAACAACAACAACAACAACAAAAACCAATTGGGCCTATTTCAAAAAGGAGATGAAATAAAGCCATTTTCAGACAAACGAAAGCTGAGATAATTCATTGCTAGCAGACTTGAGTGGAAAATGATTCCAGTTGAATGCCTATAACTGCAGGAAGGAATAAGAGCAGTGAAAGGGTAAATATGGAGACAATCAATAATATCAATTATTTTATTTATTTATTTAATTTTATTTTTTAGTCGGAGTCTCACTGTCACCCAGGCTGGAGTGCAGTGGCACCCTCATGGCCACCACAGCCTCGACCTGCTGGGTTCAGTGATCCTTCAGCCTCAGCCTTCCAAGTAACTGGAACTACAAGTGCAGGCTACCATGCCTGGATAATTTTTTTGATTTATTATAGAGATGAGGTTTTGCTAAGTTAGCCAGGCTGGTCTCGAACCCCTGGGTTCAGGCAATCCTCTCAGCCTCCGAAAGAGCTGGGATTATAGTTGCAAACCACCGTGCCCGGCCAATATCAATTGTTTTAAACAACAATAATAGCCGGGCTCGGTGGCTCAGCCTGTAATCCCGCACTTTGGGAGGCTGAGGTGAGTGG